CAACTATACTTTAATTAAAAATTTAAAAGAGAATTAAAATATTTTTTTATGCATTACAGAAATGATTGTTTAAAAATCAATTACATATTTGTTTTGTTTATAAATTGGAACTATCATTAGTCACTAATGATTCAAAGTGATATTTATTATTAATTAAAAACGGACTTAAAACTAATTTTTTTTACATACAAAAAGTAAGCTAAAGCAAATGAGTATACTGAAATTCAATTGTTTAATTTAAATTATGTACATTAAATATTTTTAACATCAATAAAAATTTATCTTTGTGTTATAATTTACCATATACTATTGTTCTAAATAATAATAACTTTTTGAATGCCTGCATTAGGTAGGTGTACATCAATATTTTTATTAAAACTAATTTGTATTTAAAAATGTGTGTGTGTGTGTGTGTGTGTGTGTTCATATACATATATACATATAGCACACCATATGTTAAATATACAAATAATTTGCGAATAATTGGTTCAATAAATATGTAAAAAAAAATCAAACTAAATTGCTTCTTTATTTTCGTGGAATAAAAACAAAATCAGAGCCATACAAGAACATTGATTGAAATAGAATCCTATCAATAAACCTTGAATTAATCTATTTTACAGAGGGCAGAATTGTATGTGTATGGTCCTTCTTGTGGCACTATAATTCCTGTTTTGCAAACGTTAATATACTGTACGGATTGTATAAATTTAGCAACATCAATAGCATAATGTTGATCATGTCGACTGCCAATAAATGTGAGGGCAACCAATCTCAGAATTAGTGCTTTAGATATATTCAAGATCACGTACGAAATATTTTGTTATTTGTCAATAAAGCGAATCTTCTGATTTCGCGATTTTTCAACGGAACGATCGCGAGAAGCCTTAATGTTTAAACAAAGAGAACGAACACGAAGGGGGGAAAAAAATTTACTTCGTTAATATCGCAGTATGTTGTCAAGCATCATGGAACAGTCACTTGAAAAATGTTGACAGTATATAGCAAGTAGCAGGTCTTACGTATATACTGTGATATACGTATCTCACAGACACACCGTTGCACTGCATGCTGTACACAGGAACGACTGCGTATTACGGGGTGAAGAGGAAGTACCACACATGTATACCGCAAATCAAATAAATGCACACACTCGTACGTGGGTATATAGTCAAGACACCAAGATAATGTGACATCTATCCCAAAAATATCGCGTCAGTGCATATTTTACACACTGTCCCGCGACTAAAGGCTTCTAGATGTATGAAAAAATTCGAATCTTTTCATTCTCTAAGAACGTCACGTAGTTATCCCAAATTTTTGACTGATAAAATACGTCGGGAAGACCGCAAGTACTTGTCATGCGGAGATGCGTGAACAACAATACCTACTTAGTGTCGCGGTTTCGCATGGGTATGTAAGATATTTAGTTATCGATAGTTTCATTACCTCCGATATAGACCCGGTCATATTAGCTTCGCGACGCACTGACAAACAGCACTCGTAATTCCTTAGTCAGCCGGTACTCACATTTGTGTTGCAGAAAATCGCCCGACTACACCCAAATAACCACCATTTTTTTCACTGAATACCGCGCACTCTCGCGGTGCTATGCGTTAACAATGATCAACTTATAAATTTGTGCCGCATGCACACTAAATACGATACGTTATCACACAATACCGATCGCAGTTCATTGGAAACGGTTTCGAAAGTTTTATTGTTTGATAACGTATACTGCTTGAATTATTTATTGGTTACATTAATGTCACATGTTGAAAGTTTTGTAATAAATAAAAAGTTAGTTTACAATTAACTTATTTAGTGGATTATCGATAATCATATTGACAATTAAATTTCACATATACATGTGCACACTTCAAATCTATACAAGAAAAAGTTTCGTTTCTTTTTACAAAGAATGCAAGAAGTAAGTACAATTTATGTATAGTATAGAAATTCTTATACATATGATGCACACAACAATAAAGGAGATAACATGTTCAACATTTCTACGGATACTTATTGTAGATCTCCTACAGATAATAAGATTTACCGAATTCTAAAATTGACAATTTCTATAACATAGAATTACGTTAAAAACAAAAAAAATGTTTCATCGTGTATTGAGCAACTTTATTTTTTCACTCGCATACCTTACGAGACTCTTATGTTCAACCGTAACTTGCTACTTATGCAGACAGGAATGCGACGATGAGTTTTCCATATGCTACTACCTGACGGCGCTCGCATCGCACGCAATTTCCGTGATCGCTACACTTTCGATTCTATATTCTGTATAAAACATATTGCACTTACCTGGTAGTCTGTAGTAGTCTGCGGACATGATTAACTGTGGATTGTAGCATTATGTAGATACGATCATAAGAACAATTTAAAGCTAATAACGCTCTTCGTGTTCGTGTGAGGGTATCACAGAAAAATGACTCGCAGAGTGTCACCGAATTTTTAGGATTTAATGAAACTGAAAAAGCGGAAGAGTCTGTGCGCGCAGTGCGTGAATATGCCCGCCAAGGTCTCAAAGAAGGTCGTGGGCATGATCGTACGAAGCCGAAAATTCATTATTAAGGATGGGGTCATTACGGTACTTAAATATTCAGTTTAATATTTATTAGATTTTTAAGTTACATCTCGATCCTTTATATATGTATGTTTTCTCTGATTTCACATCGAAAGTAAGTACGACTTTTTGTTCGGAGCATTATAACAAATTATAACCGATGATTATCCTGTGTTTATCTTCTGTCAAGTAGTGCATAATAGCCATTAATAATGAAAGTGTTTTCCATACAAAACGCGATTCGACTCGTCTAACTCGTTTTCGCGATCGTTCAGCACTGTGAAACTTGTGTGAGTTTTAGCGTGATTACATTGTAATGACTAGTATTGACACATGGCTGAATCTTTGTTCATTTTTATGCATATGTACTAGCGAGATTCGTTTTCATGTAGAGGATTGTTGTGAAATACAATTCGCACATTTCCCATAAAAAGTTAAAAATTTTTTGGAAGTGTAGCTATCAACTTGGTATGCTTTTGTTTCAATCCTGTATTTCGTATGATTTTTTAAATAGGGATATGAAATACTAATTGTAATACTACATATTGATAAAATAATTTTGTTAACTCTTAAATATAATATGTGTTAAACAATTTGAACTCTATATATTCTTAGTACTTTATAATGCGATACTTAGAACTTGCAACCAGCTTCTTTGTTTCATTTTAATTTCTTGGAGCAGTTTCAGGTGTTTTTTAGTACAAAATTTAGAATAGTTATTGTTCTTTAAAATTTGTTTTACATTTTCTTTAAAACAGTATTTAAGAAAAGTTGTTTTTATATATCAAGGAAATTGATGAATTCAAATTATATCAATTTTCTTTCCCTTTTGCTTTTAGTTTTATGATAAATTAGAATTAGTTAAAAATAGAAGCTTGGTCTTTATATCTGCATAATTATTATTTATAATACAAAGAACATAAATTGTGCCGTATAATATTTATAGAAAGCTATTGCTATGTATTTCTTTGACTTTTATTTTTTTTTTTAATAAAGAGTTTTTTCATTGTATATTTCAATATTAATAGATAGTAAATGCAGAGAAATGAACAATTAAATGTTTAATTTCTGAATAAAAGAGAAAACCAACATCTCTTTGGAAACAATATGGTAACCTGTACATTCATTATGGTTCATATTAATGAAATCAAACATGAATTTACAGATATACACTTTAGTTATGAATACATAAAAACGTTTATGTTATTAATGTACAATATTTATTAAAATTATGAAACATTTCAAACTGTTGAAAACATGGAATTCAATATTATCATTATGATTATGGTTTATCTGAAAAATATAAATAGTGTATTTACGAGAATGAACATGTTTTATTCCAGTTCATGGAGATACTTTTGTTTTTTATTAAAATCGCATTAAGCTCTTAGTTTCTTTTTTATTAGAGTAATATTATATATGTACGGGTCCATCGAATAATATCGTACTTGCGCATATTGATCAGCTGCCAAAAACGTGCAGTTGACAAGAAGTAACCTTTTCGAACATGAATGGAATAATTATAAAAAGTTTATTTAAAATTTCTCAAAGCGGATAAATTTGTCATTCGAACGTATTATCATAGATATATAATGATCAAAATATCGCCTTGTTGCTAAATTTTTAGGTTAGATTCAATCTAAAGTTATGATGAAAGAAGTATAGTTTGTGCTGTAAAAGGTGGGGGGTTCGGTGTCAGAGTTGCAATGCAGTGATTCGGATTTTCCTTTAAATTTTCTGATAGTTGCGCCGAAAAAGGCGAGAGTGAATGCTGAAAAAGTCTAAAAATCGTAAAACAAATATGTGGTTTTGAATATCTCAAAGGAGAAGTACTGACAATAAGTTATGACATCGAGAAACATTAAATACGGAACGAATTGCTCCACCCGATGTATCAGTTTTTATTACCGATCGTACCATTTTTAACAAGCTTTAATGCAACACTTTCGTGTAAGAAGTTCACGAAAAATTAAAATATCGAAGATTATTTTGAGTGACTACATTCTTCTGACGTTATGAAAACTTCATGACGTCATACTAAACACTATTTTTCCTTGAAATTACAATCTCGACTATTCGTGTCGAATTTCTGTTATATTATAAACGAAATCATGTATGACAGAAACATGATAGTTTTTCTTAAGAAAGCAGAATGGTTCAAAGAGGAATGTTCAAATGGCACTACATAAGAAAAAAGAAGTTCTTAAAGTTTTTTTAGACTTTAATCTGTTAACAATGTAGTGCTCTTTAAACAAGCTGCCCTTGAAAGTTACAGACTACAGTATGTGATAAGAATTTCAGAATGTTTTGAAAAATCTGTATACATGACAGAAAAGTATATTTTTAAGATGGTCATATATGGATATTTTGTTCGATAGTAATGGTTTTGGCACAACATTTCATGTACTTAAGAGATCTTTTGTCTTTATATTGCTGAGAAATGTAAAAAGGGAAACAAAAAAGGAAGTGTGTTTTATCCTAACAACAAAAAAAAAAGGAAAAAAAAAAAGAATATTTAGAACTTGACCAAAACAAATGACAATGAGAAAAATTTATGAAATTGTTTGAACAAAGAAAATCAAGTCGTGGGATTAAATAATGTCATTGATCCTCGTTTAATTTCTCAAACAAATTAGATGATTTTATGATACTGTTAAACATTGATGCACAATACTTTTTGTATCAATAATTCACACTTTATATTCATAATCTAATTCTTAATCTTTTGTTAATGGCACAAATTGTAATGATAAAGGATTAGTGTTATGGGAATAAGAAAGAAGCTTGTTGCAATTAATAATTCAATTATTTTATATGTATATAATTACAAATAATACAATCTATATAAACCATAGAAATATGTGAAGATTGTATCTTATTAGATAAAATGATATATGTGATATAATAAGAAATATATATATGCAGACTTAAAGACTAAATGTATTGTAAGAATATTCACAAGACAGTGCAACAAAAATAGAGCTTTGAATTGGAGTTAATGCATAAATATAATTAAAAAGAATGCAGTAATAATAAATAACCATTAATGAAGATTAGGTTGAATATTTGAAAATGCAAAATTGATATGATGCTAAGACAAGGTTATTCATTACAGTATTATATGGATCTGAACAACTGATAAATGAAAAATTGGTAGGATCATAAGTATGGAAAGAAATATATATAGTAGCACTTCTTAGGGGTCATGCCCCCTGGGGCAAAAGGTGGAGCAGAGGGCCTGGGCCCCTCCTGTTCTGAAATTCACAACAGCCAAGAACATGCTATTGCTAAACTCACACCTCCTCTTACATTTGCTCAGCAATGCTACAGACATCTTAAGGTCAGCTGTCACGATTTGCAAAGTGCTTATAGTTTTGATAAATACAAAGAAAGTTCTGATATTGTTATACTTGTATAAAATTATCATTTTACTGTTACATATTTACTGGGTATAGCAAATAGATATCATGGCTGCTTATGAACTGTGTATATATCAGTAGTACAAAAGGAATAAGTTTATATGATTTTATTATTTTTGTTTTACAGAGTTCCGGTATTGGAGAGGCAAGTGTGTACCATGCTCTGGTTGTAATATTTTTGGAATTTTTTGCATGGGGTTTATTAACCATGCCTGTTATCTCTGTATTAAATATGACATTTCCAAATCATACGTTCCTGATGAATGGTTTGATAATGGGCATTAAAGGAATCTTGTCATTTCTTTCTGCACCACTGATTGGTGCTTTGTCTGATGTGTGGGGTCGAAAATTCTTTCTACTCATCACGGTAGCCTTCACATGTGCGCCGATTCCTCTAATGAGCATTAACACATGGTGGTTCTTTGCTATGATCTCCATCAGTGGTGTCTTTGCTTGCACATTTTCAGTGGTATTTGCATATGTTGCTGATGTTACTGAAGAACATCAAAGGTCTCCAGCATATGGCATGGTAAGTATTTTATTGTTAATTCTATAAACAACATTTTAATATTAAATTTTTGCTACACAAATGTATTTTATCAGGTATCAGCAACTTTTGCTGCAAGTATGGTAATAAGTCCAGCATTGGGAGATTATATCATGAAAGAGTTTGGAGAAAATCTTGTGGTTGCATTAGCAACTGCTATTGCAGTGTTGGATGTGTTTTTTATATTAGTGGCTGTACCTGAAAGTTTGCCTGAAAAAGCTCGTCCACCAGCACCTATATCTTGGGAGCAGGCAGATCCCTTTGCTTATCTTGGAAAGGTAATTTATTATGTTATATATAAAGAAGGTGTACTTGAAATCAATCCAAATTAGTGAGTTAGCATTTAAAAATAGATATGGTTTGACCATTGGAAGTTCTTGCATTCTATTTTAAACAAAATTTGTAAATTGGTCCTATTTAGAAAATATAAAAATTTCATATGGCATACTTCAAATTAAAATATGTTAATGTACTTATCATGTACTTTTAGGTTGGCAAAGATCACACTATCTTAATGTTGTGTATTACTGTGTTCCTGAGCTATCTTCCTGAAGCAGGACAGTATAGTTGTATATTTGTCTATTTGACTAAGGTTATGGGATTTACTGCTTTGATGGTAGCGATTTTTATTGCTGTAGTAGGAGTTTTAAGTGTTGGAGCTCAGAGTCTCTTGGGTCCTTTGATAAGAACACTTGGCAGTAAACACACTATAATGTTGGGCCTTTTATTTGAAATGCTACAACTCATGTGGTTTGGCTTTGGATCCCAAACATGGTAATATTTTCTATTGATATTTGTAACTTAAATATTATTTTCTGAGTAAAATCTAAGAAAGATATTGTATATACTTTATTTAATTTGTTTTTTGGAAACTTTTTTTTTATTTTTATTAAATATTTTTGTAATTTTAAGGATGATGTGGGCAGCTGGAGTACTTGCTGCTGTGTCAAGTATTACATATCCTGCAATTTCTGCATTCATATCCATGCATTCTGATGCTGATAAGCAAGGTTTGGTACAAGGCATGGTAACCGGAATGCGTGGATTATGTAATGGTCTTGGGCCTGCAATGTTTGGAGTAATCTTTTATCTGTTTCGCGTTGATCTCAACGACAATTCTCCTTCCCTTCCCGCAAAGCCATCTCCTTTAGATGAAAATAATAAAACAGGAACTGCCACACAACATCTCGATATTATGCCACAGGTAGTAACCCAGGTAGGTTCAGTTTTGAAGTAAATAATCTTAAAGAACTGTTTTCATATATTTGACCATCAATTGTCTTATTAAAGTTAAATTGATATAAATACTATAAAGAAAATTATGTTTTCAGCTTGTACCAGGACCACCATTTGTGTTTGGTGCATTACTTGTGATATGTGCATTACTAGTAGCTGCATTTATACCCGATTCAAACACAATGCCAACAGGTCCATTGCATCATCCATCCACCTCCCGGAGGCCCTCCGGTAAATACGCATATCAGAAATGTACGTTAAAGGTTGTCAGTTATGTTAAAATTGAGATGTATTTTTGGTGGTGGGTTTTATTTTAAATCAGTTGTTTTGATAACAATTACAGTTAAATAATAGTATTACACGCTATAAAGATTGTTGTATATAATTTCTACAGAAATGTACTACTTAGTTATTCATATAATTAAAATACATCCATATTTTATATAACATATGTAATTCAATATAAAATTTACCGTATATTACTAATGCGTGCGTACACCTATTTACGTACATGTGCTGTATTATGTTTTGTCACAATTTAAGGTTTATCCTTGGATGTACATTATGAGGGAGACAAATTGGGAAGCGGAAAAGGAAAAATAGGTCCGCTGTCACCTCTAGTCGACAATTGCAACTCTGCTGCTCTATAGCTATTGTGAAAATTAAGACAAGCCACAGCAAAGAAGAGGGATGCATACCCTTGCCCAGTGACGAAACTCTATATTTAGAGAAACAGTTACTATCAAGTGCACCTACTTCACAAGGACTTTAAGAGAGCTGTCTATATTGTATTATATTACGTCTTTAAGTCAATAACTGAGGTTGATACTTAGGAATATCAATCTACTTAATGTTTAGGTTACAAGAAGTTTTTACGAGCAGTGCTTATTTTATGAAATTTCGGTTGAGCTGAACATTAAGTTCAATATTTAGGTGTTTTGTTATATGAAAAATTAAAATTCATTTTTTTTTTTTAAGAAACAGAAATTGTAATATGAACTTGTACCAAGTCAAGCACTGGATATCTTGATCTACTTATCAGTGACTCCTGGTTTGTGTAGTTTACCGATACATAAAACGGTAAAACAAATGAAAGTTGTAACCAGTATTTTTACTAGACTTATAACAAAGAACTATGTAACTTTTTACGTAAAATCCTTTTCTTTTTATCATATACGTCATCCATCGCTTATTAGGACCTGCAGAAGAGGCAACAGATATTTTTTATTTTAGGCAACAGCACCTGTTACTTTCATCACTCATAAACCTTCTGTTTAGGATATTTTCTACATTTTTTGTGAATGACCTTTGGCAAACAAAATCTTATTTATTTGCGAATGTATTTTGTTTCATTTTTCATGCATTCCTTTGTTCTAAACATACATTTTGAATTAGAGAAGAAAGAAGAATGCAATAGTTGCGGAAAGAATGAAGAGACGTTGTAAATGAACTTTACATAGTTGAAATAGAGAATAAGTTTCCAGCTGCATATAATACCTAATAAGAGTTAGCTGATGTTTGTAAAGTACGTTTACTATTTTCTTTGCATAAAATATTTATTTTAATAATTAGACATCAACAGAATGTATTCAATGGCCTTAACCAGAAAGAAAGAAAAAAACAGTTTATATAAAATCATACTTTGCTATTCAAGGGCAGTGGTAGATTCTGATCAGGAATGTTACCAACATTATTAATTGAATGCCTATGGTATTCCACAAACGTTAAAACGTACACGTTATAAATTGGAGTCATTGATGTTAAGGAAATGCAATAGTGTAGTGTATTTGTGCATTTTAATTGTATTTTATGAGAGAATTAGTGTCTGCAGAACTGTATGTGCATTGCCATAGCCTAATAACTCTCTTAATTTGATATCTGCCAACATTGTTTAAAATGAATTCTGATTTTGTGTTAGAATCTCTGCACACTGCTAACATTGTTTTTTTAAAAAAAAGTAATATTTATTCAAAATATTTGAAGTGAATGTAGCTTCGTTATTCATATTTTTTCAGCGTACATGAAGTTATTGCCGTCATTTGTTACAAAGTAATTAAACAATAAAAGAGGATGCTCAAATCCCATTGAAAACCAAAGAACGACTAGTAGCAGAAATTCTATTTAAGAGTTGTAATATTAGGAAATAGTAGAAACTCATGAAAATTATGGTGCAATGCGTGAGCAAGAAATAAAATTTTGTATGATCTCACTTTTCTCCAAGAATCATATTCTCTAAATTAGAAAACAATGTAAATAAAACACAATATATGATTTCTTTTGTAAAAATTCAAAAGAAAGGCTAATCAATTTATACAAAATTTTAATACCTTATCAGTACTATTCCATTGTTTGGAATTATTCTGATATCGAAAAATGCTATGCATATCGAAATTTAATATTGTTTTTATATCACTGTTACGATAAACTGTGGAATAAAATTCCAATACAATTGCACAATGTTTACATATGCGACAGGATTATTTTATCGATTATAGTGATAAAAAAATGCGATACGGATTGTGAGAATGTACAATAATTTGCGACAGATTTCTTGGAGAATATAACATGCAATAATTTTACGTTTCTGCTTGGTTTAAAAATTATTTATTAAAACTTGCTCTTACATACTGAAGTACATCAACACTGTTGTAATATAACATTACAAAAGAATCACAATATTAAAAATAAAGTCCAGTTTAAGACTTAACACCTCAATAAATTAAGTAATTGTATATGTACAATGTATGATGAATGCATTAATAAAAATAATTATTTTTAAAATATAAGGAAACATGTCCTATGAACATAAAAATATCTATTTAGAAAAACTACATCTAATCAATATCCACAATTTTGTAATGGCTAAATTAATAATTTATAATACAGTTTAGATTATAGTTTGAATACAATTTTGTTAAAAAGAAGGTACATTTTTAGAATATACTTCCATTTTTTGTCATTTTTTAAACAGTTTGTGAAATTGTTGTCAGTGTTGAACCACTTTGCTGCCAAGATTCAATTGCTTTGTTGACAATTACTTCTGAAGATTCTTCTGTTATCTAAAATAAAATTAAAAATATTTGCATAAAAACACTTATTTGTTGATGAATATGAATATATACAGGTATTTTCATACATGAGCAATAGTATTTAAGATACTATCTATATTTTCACATCTTAGTAAAAGTCTCCTTAAAGTTGTTAGGGTAACTACAGTAACAAAGATTAAAATTCTGTATGCACCCACTGCTATTTTATCCCATATTCTGTAAGAAATAGTTTCATAAGTTTTTCATAAAAAACTGTGTTTCTTGTTTTGTGTTTTGGGTATATTGAAAATAAGTACTTTGCTATAGAACCATCAGATATTGTTCCTGCAAAGCATGAACAGAACCAAATATCATATGGAATATTGTGTAGTGCTTCAATTTTAACAAGATGCTTATATAATTCTGGATCCTCTCTTTCTAACAAAGTACAAGTGCACTCTTGCAATCTACTGACTTCCTTGTGAAATCTTTGTACTTGGTCTAAGAGTCCACATAATATCCAATATGTGTCAACAAGTTTTTCCTCGTGACAATCAATATCAACAATATGCCATAAAGTTTCAGCCATTCTGCTCATAGCTCTAAAATAAATATAATCATTGATGAATATAACAGTTTGATAAAGCATAATTAACATTTCTTTAAAACTTGAGAATAAAGTGAGACCTATGTAAAGGAATTTCTAACTGAGTACTCATATCAAGTTTTGCTCTTCTAGTACGCAATAACCACATAGTAAGAAACATTAAATGAGGTTTTGTGTAATCATCCAAAATCTTGGTAACCTTTAGTGCTTTTTGTAGATCTTGGAATTCTGCTTTTCTTTGATTCATTATAAATTCATGACTATCTACATAAACTGGTATCACGTCCAATAATATTTTCCAAAGGAAATTCCTATATATTGTAGGAACTGTAAATCGTAGGCAGAACTGTTTCAGTTTTGCTTTGTCAAATGGACGTTCCTTAAGTAATATTTCCAAAGACCTCTTTTCTTCGACACTACGAAATCCTACCTATATTTTTGAATCGTACAATTAATCAATGACATATTTCTAATAACTTGTTATGCATTGTATTGTTTATAACCTAAGTGCAAAAAACTGTTTTTAACGCGTCGATTATGTGTTAAGGCATTTCACTTAAAAATACTTACCTTTTCGTAATAAGATGAACGAAAATTTCGTTCATCAGCCATTTTTTAAATAACAAATTTTTGAAATTTATGTGTAATCATTTAACACTGTAAAAATATTTCTTTTTATATTTGAATTGAAATGTGCAGATGGCGCTAGTGTGACGATTATGTAGCGACATCTTGAAAGAAAAGAATTATTAAATTGTAGCACGATATTACCGACTTAATTCATTTACTGTTTTCACAAACATTAATAACTAATTAAACACATTTATACGTTTTTATAATGAAATAAATAAAGTGTCAAATTATTGTTCTGCAACAATATGTTCTGGAATAACTTTTGCTACTTTTCGAAATTCCTTACGCAATGTTTTAGGACATTGCATTTGCGTCCAACTAATGGGTATCATAGATACACCTGTAAAATTGTAATTATTAGTAAGAAAAATTAATTTAATTCTTAATTACTTACCTTCCTCACTGTGTGCTATCACTACACCTAATTCATTTTCTGCTGTACTTAGTTGGTAAGTATGTGCCTCTGTCATTGGCATCTAATCAATATATTGGAAACTATTTCAAACATTATGTTTTTGTCCTTGATGATATACTTATTTTTATATCAATAAAAAGAAAGTAATGTAAAAGGATACAACTCTAGCAAGAATAATATCTCCAGGCCTGAAGCACTTGTACATTTGAATATTATCTTTGTCTACTGCACGTACATCTTCTCTCCTTAAAATCCCTCTGTAAGGTCTTGTCAATACAATATCACCTACACATTTTATGCTACATTTACAAAACCTTTGGTTAACAACAGTAACCATAGCAGTCACAATGTCACCAGGTGCAGGAACAATGCTTTGTTCTGTTACTCCATGAACTTCTACAGTACGAGTCTAAAATTCATAACATTGTTCATGTAATTAATTTATACTATACATTATTTAAATTATTTTAATAGTAATCTTCCTTACATTTTCCTCTTGTACTAGTTTCACTACACCTGCTAATTTTGAATAAATATAACCGTGTTGTTCATAAGTCCCAGATCCAGCTAGATTAACTTTGTCAGAGACACATAACCTCTGTCCTGTTGAAAAAAAATCGTATTTCTGTTTTTGATTTTAACTTTAATCTTGTTTCGTTGACGCTATATATAATTACCTGGTACACATACAATAATATCTTTCTTTTTTTCCATGCTCTTACAGAATTAAGTAAAATGTATGAAATGTATGGGATCTGTCAATAAAACATGCATTGCTTGCTAATAGTTGAAGGTTGTTTTACATTGATTTCACTGTTAGTTATACAAACTGAACTATATCAAATTATTTCAAATTATATACCTATCAAATGAAGAACGGGAAACTCATTAAACAAATGAAAAATCGTTAACATTGTTTCTTGTTAAATTATTACAAAATGTGACAGTAAGGTTTTTATAAATATATATAAAGTAATTGGAAGATTATTTTGAAAGAAAATATTTGCGAGTATGCGTAAAATAAGTATAACGTACTTCTTAAGGTGAGTATTATGCAATGTTCAAATACTAAATTAAAATAAAATTTACAATGATTTTTAGTTTTCTTTTGTTAAATTTAATGATATTTTATTTTCCTTTTGCAATGTAGGTATTTAATGTATTAATTTTCCGTTTTTACAAAGTAGCCTTAAGGTCATTTGAATTTTATATATTTGTAAATTGGCCTTCAGTCTTTTCGCGGTCTTTCTAGTGCGAAGCATGGGTTAGAGGCGCAGCATTTTTCCTGAAATATGTTACTATTTCTTTATTTCTAGGTACTTGAAATATTTTTATTTTATTTTAATCTTTGCATTTCAATGTTCAAACATTTTTGTGCACAATTTATCTATATGAACATGACGTGTTCGTCGTTATTCTAGTCCTACAATTAGTCTGTTTTGTGCTTTGTACTAATTTCTTTCTTGTACTGATACATATTATTTACAATACAATTAATTATTAGTTCGTTCATATGCACACTTATTAAATTTCTTATTTATTAATTACTGCTGACTTTTCATCAAAGATTTAAACGAAGATGACGAAATGACGTTTCGACAAAACAGCCTAGTCTAGATGAATTGTGGAATAGCGTATTTGTAAGTATTTTTTGATTTTTTTTTATAGAATTAAAATTCTAGTTTTCACCTAGAGTATTTTGCGTTAAAAATATGGATTTATTTCAATTACATTATAAAGATTGTAAATGGATCAACCCGTTAGATTCATCATTGCATTGAGATGCAGTACATACCACCTCATTAATTTAAAAATAAATTAACAAATAGACCATACGACAAACGAGGTATAGAATTATACCGCAGACGTACCTTGTTTGTGATCATACCTACGAACAATCGGTAAAGCAGGAAATCATAGAAAACATACGGGCAACAACTGTCGATAATATTACAATTGATATTATCACACTGTTGGTATGCTACTAATAAAAGATTCATAAAAATTATCACTTATCTTGTATTGATAAAGAAGAAAATATACTTTTCCTGAACGATCCTGAAGATACAGCTAACTACACCTCTACCATTTCACTCTTCTCATAAATTACTCCATCGAGAGTTGAATGTTAATTAAGTTACTGCATTTACAAATTTCATAAATAAAATTATTTCGAATCACTCCTGTTCTTTCCACCGTAAGTGTCCTCTCAGGGAAGCAATTCTATCCTCAGTATGTACAAGGTGACACATAATAAATGTCAAAAGAATAAATTTTCAAAATGTGTGTAAACAATTTTAAAACATTCAGTAGAAAAAAAAAGTGTTCGCAGTAGTCACTAATAACCATCTCTAAAGTTTCTCACGAGAAATAAATCGAGACTACTTTTCGTCACGTGTTTGTAACTTCCACCTTAATTTTCTCAAAAAAAAAGTGGAACGTGTTAATTAACGTTGAGGCTCGTTATATTCCTAATGGCCCGATAGTTGTGGCATTCCAAGGTGTACGGGGGAAGTTCGCAGGCCCCTCTCGAGTTTCGCGTCACGAAACGCGGCCGCGATTTTCGGTGATTGATGAAGTATCGCCGAAGAATGTCCTAATCGGTGATCGGGCCCTACTAGGCCTCATTATAAACAGGCAGAGTCAGCTGGACCGCGGTTTTATCTCGGATCTGAGGGGCTAGCCTTGTTAGCAAGCTGAACTATGGACTATTACATTTATCTAACCCGATCCACCGAAGTCGGAACACCGTCGTTGGTTTCTCGGTACGGCAGTGATGGATATTTCACGGTTAACGTCCTGACACTGTCGCACGTTCAAACCGAAACCAAAACCGTCCTCCTCTCGCTCTGTGGAACGTGCCCTGTAACCTTAATTCCCCTCTTCAACCACTTTCTTGTTAGCATCCAGTTTCGCCCCTGGTTTTCTTATTTTTATTTACTTATTTTTTTATTTTGTCGAACCTGATCGAGGTGGAAAATTATGGAAAAAAGAAAAGAAAATATTAAATTTATACTGAATTCGTTCATAACGATGATATAAAAAATAAAATTGAAATGTCGTATAAAGAATGTCCAATAAATGCTTTATTAAAATATTATAACTTTGATATCGATGAATTTATCGTAAATCGAATTTCGTCGCGATTTTCTCTAACTTCGTTAAATGCAACGTTGATTCCCTTAATTCATTTATTTCGAGTTACATACTTCTATATTGTAAACCTTCCGATTTGCAGTTCTTCGTGAACAAAAATTTAGAGGTTAGATTATGTGATGTTAGAGGGCAAAGAGACTGATATCGAATAATATCTTGTCCTATTTATATTTATATTCAATTACTAATTAATTTACCTATATTTCAATTTATTCGTTAATTAATTTCTCGAATCGATAATCACTGCCCGTTGAAAACAAGCGATTCCAAAACTCGTTCGCTGTCGTGTTAACTACGCGCATGCGCGGTGCGCACGAGTTCGAAAGTCGATCCGACGATCGTCGCGTGGCGCCGATTATCCCGCTGGGAAAAAGGAGGAACGAAATCGCGCCGCGGGGATGGAAATCGTCGGTTCCAGGAAATTATGCCGCGAGGGCAGTTTCCAATGTCGCGACGCGTTGTACGCCGCTCGGTTGTGGGCAAGATAAAGCCAGAATTATGATGGTCTCCGTTTAAGACAATTAAGGTAGAACCGGTTAACAACACGTGTTACAACCAAAGCCCTTCCCGTATCTCTACTTCGGACTCATAACCTGGCGTCATGTCTTCTAACTAGGCTCGCTTAAGCTACCCTTAAGACCGGCGAAACAATTGTCCGTCGGTCTGTCTGGCGGTAAACGAGACGCGGTGACAATATCATTTCGTCCGGGTTAATTTTCAACGGGGTAAGTTTTGTCGGTAGCTACCGGGATAAGGTATACCTGACAGCGTGGACAATTGTTTTTCGCTCACGTTCCGGAGAAGATGGAGAGATAGCGACTATGTCAGTTCGACGATGTCATTTGTTACTGTTATATCAGATCTATCGCGCATGCGCGCTGCGTACGCGCAGAAGGGGCCACCGTCCAAAAATTGCTAGCCTCTCTCTGTGACTTCTGAAAATTCATCTCACCGGACACTTTTGAAAAATGCACACGCATTTTCAACGAGATATTCTTTTCTTTTTTCTTTTTTATCGTTTCTCATTATTTGCCGATATCGATTTTTTCCAAAATTACTTCACAGGCTTCGTATATCGCGTTGAATATGGAAATTTGTCGTTTCAGGTGATCGAATTGACGTTGCTCGTAGCTGTTCTAACGGGATAATTCGAAACAGGACGATTTCCAAAATTAGAAGCGGCGTTGTATTTAGATTTTAGCCAGTTCTTTTTCGGTTCAAAAAAAAAAGGAAGAAAAGGAAGAAATCGGTAGGTGAATCGGGGCCAGTTTTACCGAGAAGAGAGTCAAAGGCCACGTTTAGATGAAAAACTGGTTTACAATTTTGATCACGTCCCACCACGAACAAGGAAGAAAGGAAACGAAACGAAACGAAACGAAAAAAAAAAAAAGAAACTTACTTCGGGCTAGAAAGAGCTCCTATCGGTATATCTCGAAGCGATAGATGTGGTACGCAGATAACAGCGAAATAAATCCCATTTTATAGTTCAACAAATCCACGATTCCACCTCCTCCAACTCTGTTCCGCTGTTTGTTAAGCATAATTCATTCATGGCACACGCGGAGCAACGCAATCGCCGCTTTAAATGGACCCTTATGACCGTTCCGGCTTTACCTGGAACGATTTAATCGCGTTTACGCGCGTCCCCGCTTTTGTTCCCTCCGAATGCTACTATTCATTTCCGAGGGGGGGTTATAATACCACGGAATTTCCTGGAAACGATTCGATCTGTTTCGAAAATCCACGTGACTCCGTGATGTAGCTTCTGGTATCGTTCACGATGTCATGTCTTTTTGGGGGGGAAATTCGAGAATTTTGGAAATTTGGGAAAATTTGGAATTGTTTGATTTAGGGAAATTGAGGGAGATTTGGAATTTAGGAAGGTCGGGAGTTTTGAAATTGAGGGAAATTTGGAATTGAGGGAAATCTGGAATTTAGGAAGGTCTGGAGTTTTGGAATTTAGGGCAATTTGGAATTTTGGAATTTAGGAAAGTCGGGAATTTTGAAATTGAGGGAAATCTGGAGTTTTGGAATTGAGGGAAATTTGGAATTTAGGGAAATTTGGAATTTTGGAGTTGAGGGAAATCTGGAGCTTTGGAATTGAGAAAGCTTTGGAATTTTTCATTTTGGAAACGGTGGAATTTTAGAATTTGGGAAACTGTGGAATTTTGGAATTGAGGAGACTGTGGAATTTTAGAATTCAGGAAACTGTGGAATGTTAGAATTCAGGAAAATTTGGAATTTCGAGAAATTAAATTTAGTAAATTATAGATGATAGATTTTCGCAACTCATTTACGAAAAATTTGTCAATTAGAAACATGCTTTCTGAATTTTCACCATGAAGCAGCCATAACTGTCCTCAAAACGATACGGAAAAAATGTAAATCACCGGTTCACTTATTTTCATTCTTGTACAATATATTTCACATTCCAAGAGAAAGAACAAAGACGCGGTACAGGAGGAATAGCCGTGTGGACCAGTTCAACATCGACGAGAATAAAGATCATAAATTAGAGGGAAGCACGGCCGCATTTTTTTCACCTGTTCCTTGGCTGTGGCTGTCCACGAAAGACCCACATCACGTTTCGTGTATTAATAACGCGGTATCGCGAG